TTGACTTCGCACCCCGCCAACTACGCATATTTTGTCAACACCAAAAATATTTTATACGTGTACGGAGAGAGATGCGCTGGGCAAACTCGATAAAACCGACAGAATTCTTCCGCTAACGGAAGAAGGAGGAAGGAATGAGCGATTATAAAAGGGTATTCATAAAAAGCACAGTACCCCGGTCTATGGACCTCCACGAGGTCCCTACCCGCCGGAACCATCTCGATGTGACGGGGAATGTTATACTTGGTACGTAAAGCATTTATATGGGCCTGCTCGGTTTTAGATATTAACGGGGTGGGAGTAGGAGCAGGGTTCTTAATAAAGTCACTTCGAGACATGGAGTGTCTCGGTAATAACTCGTCTACGGTGGGAAAACTATCCCATTCCCCAGCCGTCGCGTCCTCACCACCAGTAGCAAGCGCCACGGATAACGAAGTGGCGCCAGAAATCCCCTCACGTGATCGGTGTGTTCTAGACATGTCTATGGAGGAAGATGTATTAATAAAATAAAAGAGACCAAGAACAATGAGCTTCAAGAGGAAATGAAGAAAATCGCAGAAGCAAAGCTAAAAATATGAAAGGGAATGATCAGAAGAGAAATGGCCAAGAGTTTTTGAAAAAAACAAACCCTTCCCCTATTTATAGGGTTGGGTGGCAGCAAAACCAAAACGACAGGTCATCAATCTCTGCCTCGGGAAGATGCGCAATAATGACGCACGTGAAAGTGACGTCACTTCCCAAATAGAACACATTGCCCAGGGTATAGCAAAGTACGTCATTCTTCCATCATCGGCCAAAATCGTTATGGTATGCAGATCAAATTTCTTCGTAAGTATGGGCGACGTCCGCTTATCAAGGACGCCCCAGGTCGCGACCTCGACAAGCGGAGGGACTAACTATATAGGTCGAAATTTGGACGACCACGACTGTTACCGAGTGTAGCAAAGAACTAGGTCCTCACGATGCAGCGTCCTTCGATCGTTATGAAGGGTAACAACTAACGATGGCTAGAGAATGCACGGCGTCTATAGTAGTGTTATCATGATAGGAAACAATGGGAATATACCTTTCGAATATTTCTTGTGTTGTACCTTTTTAGGGTAAAAAGGGGGATTGTCCCATATAAAAAGAAAGGAGAACACTTTGTAAAAGGAGGGCATTTTGCTTATTACAAATCAAAAAACCCTTACATCATTCTTGGTGTTGACTAATTGCATTCATTGCTATATTCTCTTACATATGAAATTCTCGCATTTATGAATAATCATTTGTTTCCAACACACTAGGAAACATCGTTCACCTTGTCTTTCTCTTACACTATTTAATCTAGATTTTATTACACGTAGCTGAGATTTATCTCTTCACTTTTATTAATTGATTTAATCAAAAAGGTTTCAATATCTTTTGGGTCAAACAGTATATGTTCCTAGGAGTAAAGCTAAAATTTTCATTTCTTTACTTCAAAAAGTATCTAGGAACAGTTTTTTTTTAAATAATTAAAAGATTGGGTTGCAAATGATGCAAAAAGAATTCTTTGTTCACTTGGTTTCACCTCTGCAGCAATCCAGTATGTTTACTTTAGAGGAAAGAAGTCCCAACTTCTAGTCAACGTTTGTGTGATCTTGGATTCTTGTAAGAGCTGAACTTGGGCCCAAAGTTTTGACTTGGGGGTCCAACTCGTATAACCAACCTATACCAACAGTTTATCTGGGCTACCCCGACCCGTCACGGATGAAATGTCACCAGGTAGCTACTTTTGGTGGAAACGACACCAAGTAGCCTTTTAAGCATGTTATTTAAAATAGGGATTTTTACGTATCTATATATTATTAGAAACTTTATTACCCTTCATACTCAAGTCTTAATTTAATTACCTTATATATACAAACTTACCAATTATATACACTTTAGGAATTAAATGAGTATCCCTTTATATTAGGAATCAATTATTTCCCATCCTTATTCTCTCTCCCTCATGGGCACTCTCTCTCCGTCTCTCTCTCCCTCTCTCATGCGCCCTCTCTCTATATGTCTCTCTCTATCTCTCAATCTCTAATTTCAGTAATGTAGAGCAAAGGAAAAGAGAGTAGCAATTCCATCATTGACAGCCATTCAAAAGCTTTGAAGCTTTGAATTCGAATTTGGGTTTTCAAAAAATATTATTTATTTGAATTGGATGTTGTTACAAACAATTGGAAATTCTCTCTACGTCTCTCTCTGTCTCTCAATCCCTAATTCCAGTAATGTAAAGCAAAGAAAAAGAGAGCAGTAATTCCACCATTGACAGCCATTAAAAAGCTTTGAACTTTGAATTCGAATTTTGGGTCTTCAAAAATCATTACTTATTTGGATTGGGTGTTGTTGCAAACAATTGAAAATATTGTTTGAATTTTATATTTCAATTTTGAGGATGTTTTGGTGAAGATTAGACTTGATTTTAGCTGAATTTAAGATTGAAACTCGAAGAAAAAGATATGACATACATTATACTGTAAAATTGTAGTAAAGTTGTAGAAAACTTGTAGAAAAATTATTTTATGTTGTTTATATATATTTTTTTATTTAAATATTGTGTGAAAATTGAACAATATAAAGCTCCTCCTAATGTGTCAGTTAGGAATGCATGCGTCACTCAAGAGATGCTTTAAAGAAGAGGTTTTGCTCCATGCAGTAGATGTCTCTTTTGTGAGAAAGAGCAGAAATCTGCAACTCATTTATTCCTCCACTGTAAATAAGCTGGACAGATTTGGGGTCTCTCCTTAAACATATGTAGAGTGTAGTGGGTAGTGAGTCATGCCTCACAATGTACGAGCTCTAATAGAAAGTTGGCAAAGTCATAAATTGGGCAAAAGGAAGAAGAAGATCTGGAAAACCATCCCTCTCTGCATCATATGAAACATTTGGTTGGAAAGGAACAATAGATGCTTCCAGAATTTTAGATTCCGATCACCACTGAAATATTGAGAAATAAAATACTGAATACACATAGGGAAAAAAAATCTAAATTGCATTTGTTCGGAGAGAAGAGAAAAAAGGAAAAGGGTGTAACTAAATCCCTTGATTGAAGGCACAAACAATGGATTGAGAGCATTTTAAGGTGGATTGTATATATTTTGTAACTAAACTATGTTTAGGTCGGGTAAATACCAAAACATGGATATTTTTCGTAATAAGGTTTCAAATAGTGTATAGGTATGTAAAAATCCCGAATAAAATATATTCACAGTTTATAATGTATTTAAAGATTAACCAATTTTCTCAAATTTCAGGACGCGACGTTTTGAAGTTTAACGCTCAAAGTTCAAACTTCACGACATTGTGTCCTAAAGTTCAAAAATTGTATCTAGAAATTTGAATCTTTTGTCCTGATTTTAATTAACAATTCAAAAGTTCAAGATACTTAGTTCTAAATTTCAAACTAGCAGCTCAAAAATTCAAGATACAAAAATTCAGAATACTTAGTCCCGAAGTTTAGATGAATTGGTTAATCTTTAAATACATTATAAATTGAGAATATTTTTAAGTAGCACGCTTAAAAGTGGCTAATGGTGCACTTCGTCCCTACTTTTAGGATCGCTATTTAGATCTCAACCAACATTGCAAATTATTTAATATTTAGCCACAACTTAAAAAAGGATCAAAGTTTAGTTTTTCGGGACAAACTTTAGTCTTTCAGTTCAAAATTCAGGAGACATTTGTCCTGAAGTTTTTTTTAGTTCAAAACTCGTAGTGTCCTGAAGTTTACTATTTATTTCAAAACTTCGGGACATTGCGTCATAATCAGATTTTTTAGTTTAAAATATCAGAATACTAAGTTCGATTTTTTTGTTCAAAACTTTAGGACCCTGTGTCCTAATTTTATATTTTTTCTATTTAAAACTTCACGATGTTATTAATAAATTTAGTTTTTCAATTCAAATTTCAGAATTTTCAAATTCTGAAGTTCATTTTTGTTCAATTTAAACTTTATATGTCATGAAGTTCAATTTTTCAGTTTAAAACTTCAAGACACTATGTCATGCAGTTCAATTTTCTAGCTCAAAACTTTAGGACACTATGTCCTAAAGTTCAATCCTGAAGTTTAATTAACTTCAAACTTGTATATCAAATTTCAGGTGTGTATGTATGGGGTGAAATTGGTTGATTACAAGTGGCTAAATAGCAAGGTAACACATGGAATCGAGAACAGACAGAAGATGAGTTAATGAATAATCGACATTGGTTATAAAATGCATAATCGGTATAAGATGGATCCCGAATGGAGCACAACCGACGACAAAGACTCAAATGCTTGGCATCAGATAAAATTTAATGAGCAATCGATACAGAGAATATATGTATCCATCAATGACATTTTTATTCTCATTCAAGAATGGTTTGATTTTAGGATGTTGTCTCCCTAAGAATAGCTATAAATATCAGATTGATAACTCTTGAGAAGACATGAAATATTCTGCACATAGAACCGTAACTCGTTATTTTACACTCTATCTAATAGTTTTAGCATCACTTTATCATTGCTTTCATTTATGCTCTCGGAAAGACCAAGGTCGGAGCAAGGCTTGTTATCTTTTTTAATTTCAATCGTTAATCTTATTTCTTGCTCTATTTCTCTATTATTTTAGGATCAAATCGATTCGCTTGTCTATAAACCACGTTACAAATTCGACTATACCGTTTTACGGGTAAACAATATATATCTCTATTTTATAGAATAACTAAAGCCTAACAATTTGAAGGTGAAATTTTTGTTGTTAATTAAAATAAAAGTGATATAGATTTCATCGTTGAATGTGTATATGAATGGAGCTATGTTAATTTATGAATTATTGGTGAAAAAATGATTTCTTTGGCAGAAAGTATTTTGTGTAGTAGAGATAAATTAAGAGTTAAGAGATGTGAAAGAAAAAGAATTGAAGAAGAGAAACGGGCAGAAGAAACGAGAAGGAAAAAATAGAGAGGAGGAGGGAGGAGGCTGCCCCTTTTTAAGGGCTAAGCTTTAAATAATTTTTAAATCCTGGTTGAAACTTAAATAACAGCCCAAAGAATGGCCATTCCTGCACTTTACCCCCCGTCACGTGAAGGATAATCCATTCCAGTTTCTACCACCAGATTGACTTTCTCTTTATTCTTCAAAAGTAATCAGCTCATGGGAGAGCAGAAAGAAGAAACAGAAGTCAACCAACCCACAGACCAATCTCATTCTGTAATTCCGCTATCTTTTTTCTTTTTTCTTTTTGCAATTACGGCTTTGATTCCTGCTTATAGTTGACCAGATTGATCATTCAGTTTAACATGATATTGGGTATTTTTCATGATTAACAATGTGAATTCAATATCTGATTTTTATTCCCGTAGTTTGTGGAATTGACCATTTTGATCCTTCAGTTCGAATTGTAATTGTTTTTCTCTTTTTCCGAATTGCTATGTTGTAATTTCTGTAAGTTTTTCTGAATTCATGGTTCTTATATGGTTAATTATTGTTCGTTTGACCATTCAGTTCATAATGAAATTGTCCCTCTTTTGTAATCAGTCGTTTTATATCTACTAGAATATTTCATTTTGTTAATTGCTATCCTGAATTTTGTAAAAATGATATTATCTGTTGATCCTACTGAAATTTGTGTTTTTTCATACAGTTCTTTATTGACTGCTTGATCATTTAGCTCACAATGAAATTGAGTGTTCTTGTATTCTGCAACTAAAGATTTTCTCCTTTTTTTTCTTTCTAAATTCGACTAGAATAGTTCATTAACTAATTGCTACCTTGAGGTTTCTGGAAGTGATATTATCATTTGATTCTTATGAAATTTTAAAAGGACAACCTGGTGCACAAGGTGAACCGTGTTCATGCAGGGTCCGGGAAGGGCCGCACCCCTTGGGGTGTGATGTAGACAGCCTACCCTAATGCAAGCATTAGTGGGTGCTTCTACGGCTCTAACCCGTGACCTATAGGTCACATGGAGACAACTTTATCATTGCTCTAAGGTTCCCCTTCATCCTTATGAAATTCTGCTATACAATTAATTATCGTTCAGTGCATAATGAAATTGCGTAGTTTTGTAATCAGCAACTAAAATTGGTTTTTACTCTTTTCTATCAGTACAAGAATAGTTCATTTTCTAATTGTTACCTTGAGGTTTCTGAAAGTGATATTATCCGTTGATCCTTCTGAAATTATGGTATATCATTCACTTCACTATGAAATTGGGTATTCTTGTTATCAGTAAGTAAAATTGTTGTTTCTAATTTCTACTAGAATTGTTCATTTTCTAATGGCTACCTTGAAGTTTCTGAGTGATATTGTACTTTTCTGACCCTTCTGAAATTATGTGCTTGAAAACAGTTGATTGTTGCCCATTTGATCATTCAGCAGAATGAAATTTGGAATATTTTACTTATAAAAAAGCTGGGTGTTTTTGCAATCAGAGATTGAAATTGATCTTTCTAATTTCTGCATTGTAGTTTGTGGAAGTGATTTGCAAATGCACCGACAAGACTTGGCGATTTGCTGCTGGAACAGAGGCAAAATTCGCGCTGAAATTTATCAATGACAGTAGGATTGATTCTATCTTGGCAAACCCACCAGTAGCCTATATTGAAGCTGTTAAAGATGGGGAAGTATCTGTCATTTTTGGCCCCAACTCAATTCTTGTGAATTACGGCAAAGGATGGAAATTGCAGCCAGCCACTGAGACAACAAGTAAACTATTATGATATTTAATTGTTTTTCATACCTGAATTACTTAGAAATAGGAAATTGTCAGTGGTAAGAATTTTTGTTATTCTCTTGCAGCAGGTTTTTCAAGAGGGATGCCCGACGACTACGCAGCAGCGCAACCAGCATATGTTCCTCCGGTATGATTGAAACCACACAAATCAAATTACCTATCCTTTTACATGAATTATCGTTCTTTCCATGTCCCAATTTGAATATCCGCATTTAACATGTCTTGGAAGTTAAAATGTAGTAGGCTCACATTTAACTAGTTGCTTTTTTCTTTGTTCTTTTTCATGTGCTTAATAGAAACATATTAGATTGAAGCAGTATGAAAATTTGTAAAGGAGTTCCAAAATAACAATTTGATTGTGTATTACTCCACTGTGATACTAAAAGCTTCTCCGCAAAAAAAGTAGACAGTATTTTGGAAATGATTAATAAAGGGAAGTTGATGTACTTTCAAGGTTTTGCACCTCTCAAGTACAAAGAAGAGAGAAAAACAAAAACACCCCGCTAAAGTTTTTCACAAAACTAGCGAAAGCGTTCTTCAAACTCACGTTAGAAGAATGTAAGATGGAAATAAACCTCACCCACACGTTCCCCAATCCCGCAAGATTGCAAGAAGAGTTGAATAAAGGAAGAACAATGAAATAAAAAGTAAATCACGTTTTTGAAGCAATAGCTTAGAAAAACTAATCACCAATGTTTATTTTCAGCATATTAAGCCCTTTAAATAGGCCTTACAATGAGTAAAATTGGTAAGGTTAAGGAAAACTAATCCTAATTAGACTAGAATAAGAATAAGGCTAAGAAAATCTATCCTAACTAAAATAGGAAAAAGAATTCTAGTAAGAATGGGATACCAACTAACAATTCTAGTTTGACTAGAACTACAAATATAATCCTACTAAAACAAGAATTAAATTACTAGGAAATAAGAAATAACAAATCCTAATCTTTAAGGAAAAGAAATCCTAATCTTGGATGGATTCTTCGCTTCTTGAATTTCATGAATTTTTAGCATTCTTGATCTTGCATCATTCTCCCCTGGTTGAAAAAGACTCGTCCTCGAGTCTAACAGCTTCCATAGATGGCGCAAGATTTGCTATAGTAAGAACGGAGACCCAAGGGGGAAAAAATGGGGACCCAATGCTCACCAGTTTTAAGTTACATTTTGCTAGTTTATCATAGAGCTTCTTCACGTTATAAGCAAATTTGGCAT